CAAATTCCAGTTGAATCCATTACATTCACTTATGTGCTAATACCCTTTGGAAAAGTATGAATCCTCTTCTCCCTCCAGTTATGGGAAAATAGCAGGGTAGACCAGATTCTATAGCTTTGGATGGCAATTGGTCTACTACAGAAAGAATTGGCAACCTACTGCAGGAAAGATACATGATTGTTTAAGCATTTATCATGCATGGCACATAACTGACTGACTGGTTGAATCTTCCTTATCACTTTGAGTCTCCATTGCTCATCCATAATTTTATATAAATATTATATAAATTGTATGCTCAAAAAGAACAAGAAATTTCCGTATATTTTCTTTTACACCCTCTTTTATGTCTCTCTTATATCTATCTATCATATATATATATATTAAAGAAAAACAGACCACTTTAAGGTACCATTCCATGATTAATTTTAATGAAAACAAAATATCTGTTGACTTTAATATACAGGTTGTGCCACCAAAAAAAACAGGAAATTTTAGATTTACTATATGATGAAAAAAATTAGCATAAAAAATTAACTATATATTTTACTATATGAATTAACTAAAAAGATTAACAAACCAATGTTTTTACCATTTGTTGTTCCAGGATGCTGCAATTATCAAATTTTCAACACATGATGATTGTTCTCTTTAAGAAGGGACATCCAACTTGTGGACTGAAAAAATGCTAAGAAATTTTGCCAGAGTTCTTTAATTTGAACACCACATCTAACATTTGTGTTTTTGTTCTGTTTTAAGCTATTTAGTAAATATTCTATCCTTTGCTTTTGTTTCAAATAACTGTAACAAAAATTCTGACAATTAAACTGCACCACATTTTCCATTTTTTGTGGGGCACCCTCTGTGTGTATGTATATATGTGTGTGTGTGTATATATATATATATATATGTGTGTGTGTATTTAGGCAGCATTTTTTCATTCATACATGTTTCATTAAATAATATAGACAAGTGTTATATATAGACAAGTTTCAGACGTTATGAAAAGAATTTACATAAAATAAATAGACAACACTTGTCTATATTATTTAATGAAACATGTATGAATATATATATATATGGCAATAAAATTACAATATATTGCACATATAGTACAGGTCAATGTCATGAAACCAAGCCAAAAAATATATATATATTAAATATACTATCTCACACCTCTAGCATGACTGTGTTTCATGCATTCATTCTTCAGGTGCTGAGCTCAAATTGACTGTTTTACGGCTTTAACACAGTCAATTTGAGCTCAGCACACGAAGATTGCGTCATGCATGATACACAGTCATGCTAGAGGTGTGAGATTGTGTGTGTATGTTTACCTCTTACCATTCTTCCATCTAGTCCTTTTCCACTCTTCTCCTTATTCATTTTCCCAATTCTTTCCTGTCTAGTTTTATTCTGGTTTCTTAGTCAAAAAGTATAAGTTATTCCAGTTGACATGGGCTGAGTATCAGTCAGATACTACACTTTGTTTTGAGGTAGAATAGCATAATAGCCATACATCAAGATAACATGATATCCATTACAGCATGTATGTAATCTAATTCAGTATCTCTACACCAAGCAATAAAAATATAATTATAGTTGTAAAGGACAGAATTTTAAATGCAGTTTTATTTTTTCTAAGTTGCAAAGGTCTCCTTTTGTGTCCATATTTAGTCATGTACCTGTAAAAGTAAAACTTTTACAGAGTATACATATTTGTATCTGTTTGCTTATCTCTGTCTTTATATTTCTGTAACTATTTATTTATTGGGTTTCTTTGTCTCTCTTACCTCTTAGTAGTTTTCCATTTTGATTTGAGTTTGTACTGTGAAAACTTGCTCAGAAGGTACCATGATAGTGAGCTGGCTTCAGATATTAGAGGCCAGTACTAAAGAAAATATTTTAACTAATATCTTTCTATTTTTGCATTTTGTTGTAAGATTTTTAGTGAAGGAATTCTTCAGCCATTTGACTAAATTGTAGGAAATCAGAATGAACTGGTGCCAAGACATTTATCTTATGCTCTGTGAGTCTCTTTTATGGACAAATAAATTAACCCATTAACTGAAGCTGACAGCAATTCTAGTCATTACATTTCAACTACAAATGATGGAAATTTCTGTAATTATGTTTTTTGGCTAAATTCATTACAATGAAAAGCAACAGAAAATAAAGGAAGGAAAATTAATCAGTGTTTGTAATTGCAAAAATATTCTTCCAGCTTTTTTTCCTTTCAACTACAATCGTCATAAATTTAAATACAATGTTAGTCATCATTTTTTTTTTTTTTTTACAACGTTTACCCTGTACAAGGCCCGAGAGCCACTTGAGATAGAGGGTTACAGATTATGTGCATATGTGGGGAAGGTAATGGTTAATAAATCACTATTTTACAAACTTGTATGAAGACTTCAGATTTCAGATAGCATAAATGTTTTGCTTTAATTTTTTTATGGCTCATTCAAGATGTTTTTTAAAGCAAAATCACAAGTGAAAACGAGAATTTTGTGTTAAACAAAACTAAAGATAGCCAGTGAATTGAAAACCATTTGCTCTTTGACTTTAATTTACTGATTTGCATATTTCAGTTTTCTCTAAAGACACCAAAAATATTTCAAACTTTTAAATCTTTTAATGCCTCCAGTTCTAATATTTTTTGTTCTTTCAGTCTTCAATGGCCTTGTACAAGACTAAATAAATTATTGGACTGATCTGACAGCATTTAAAAATGATTGGCTTTAATTTTGAGTTTTCTATATTGCAATTGGTATTTTATTTATATTACTTGCACTATATTAATTAACAATTCACTGCTGCTTCATTATAGCATTGTGGCATGGCTGTGCTGAACAGTTTTGGGGAAAATATTAAATTGCTATTTACTGGAAATAAATGACTATAAAGATCATGATAGTGATTTCTCATGGAGCTTGCCATTTTGGTTTTGGTAGGATACTCTGCAGAGAATAAGCTAAATGACACCCCTAACACCCTATAATAAAAATACATTGTGAAATAGGTTTTGTTGTATGCTGGTATATGTCTATACCGGTTTGGAGAAAGCACTAAGAGCTAGTTAGTTTATAACACAAATGCTAGGGACTGACATTTCATAGTGCCTTGAAAAAAATCAATATATATATATATATATGTCAACAGTAGGCAATGTAAGTTTCATAAAGTGTGTTTTTTTTTTTTTTTTTTTTTTTTTTTTTTTTTTTTTTTTTTTTGATTCACTTTTTATGGCTAATCACATTAGAAAGTATTTTAGACTTAAGAATTTTTTGGGAGATAATAATGATTTAGTGATACTAATTAACCCATATTTGTGAAGAGAAGAAATAAATTCCTACCCTATCCTAAGGGCATTTGTACATAAATGAATAACTTGACTCTCCGATTAACAATTCCAAGCCATTATCCATTACACCACCCACACATCCAAGCTGACAGCACTTTATATTCCCAAGCAGTGACCCATCTAGGTACTGACCAGGCTTGATTTTTCTTAACTTCAGTGACCATATGAGAACCAATGTTTCAACACTATATGGCCATAAACCAAGTTTCATAAAGATATATGTCTTGAAAATTATATAATATTAATAAAAATATAAAATTTATGTCAACTGCAGTCAATGTAAATTTCATAAAGACATATAAGTACATTCACAATAGCGGAAATGTTAGCTAGCAAGTGTGATGGGAAGAATAAGCACTTGGATACAGTGAAGAAAACCTAATCCAATGTCAGCCAGGGAAAGAACCAACGCCTTGACTTTGAATGTTCACATCCACCCTGTCATTAGGAGGCATAAAAAAAAACTAATTCATGTTTTCCTTTGTATTTAAAACAAAAGATAGAAAGGTTAACAAAATAAAAGAAAGAGCACAGAATGCATTTAGGCACATTGATTTAGGTAGAGAGGAACCAATGAAATTATTGTTTGAATTTGAGACAATTGAACATTTTTTGCTTAGTAGTTTTTGAATCTTTGTAGATATACTCCACTTCCATGCTCACATTTGGACTTGTAGATTAAATCTAAGCCAAGATACACTTAAACTCTTCTAGAAACTTGAAACATTTGAAAACTTGAAATATTAGAAATTTTATTTTAAAGTAAAAAGGGAAACAAGTGGATACTTATACTTGACACCAGAAAGAAAATTTCTAGGGCACATAATGAGGAAAGAGGGCTTAGAAAATTTGACACTGACAGGACATATTAAAGGCAAAAGGGACAGATGAAAGCAGTAACTAACCTACTTAACAAGCTTGTGTAAATGGCTGAGAGAGCAGAGATTAGGAAGGATAGTGAAGAGACAAAATTTACTAAAAGCTACAAAGTAGAGGAAATTGTGGCGAGCCATGATTTCTAACGTCCTCAAAGGGCATGACACAGAAGAATTTGAAAACTACTTATATATTTTTTAAATTCTGTCATAAATTTTGAAGACATTTGACATAAGCAATTCTGTATAAAATAAATGTCACATTTTATGATCAATTTAAATAAGTAAGTATTTTGGTTTTCAAGATTCTTTAAAATCAAAATATTTATTTTAGGCAGTTCAGTATTTACAAAAGTCTTTGAAAGAAAGTTGCTTTTCCAATCCTAACAAAATAAAAAAAGAAAAATTGACAAAAAGAAGCCATCCAAATCCTCTCAGGTTTAATTCTGCTTTGGCAAACAGATGTCAGTGCAAAGAGATCTATCAGATTAGATCAATAATGTTGAGATAAAGATCTTGAAAAAGGCAGGAGCTTTAAAGCTAAGGGAAAAGACTGGCTTTAATGGCATGCAAGTTTAAATAAACATGTCACAAACATGCTGAGTTGAACTATTTAGCAAAAACTCAAATTCAGCTTTGAGAACACTGAATTTGAATTGCTGTACACAATATATTCTTGGTGTATATAAAATAAAGTATTCTTCCTTTTGATATATATATATATATATATATATTTATAATTTTCCTTTTTAATAAATAAGGCATATGGCCACATCACGTTGAAACACCAGTTCTCATACAATCACCAAAGTTAAGCAGCGTTGAGCCTGGTCAGTACCTAGATAGTTGAATGCTTGGGAATACCAGGTGGTGTAAAGGATAATGGCTCAGAATTGTTAATTGGAGAGCTAAGTTCTAATTCCCATTGGTGTCATCATATTCACTTACATGCAAATACACTTGGGAAAGGTATGAATTCATCTTTGTCCCCCACCCAGAATTTGGTTAATTAGTAAGATTTGTATTACTAAACCATTATTTGAATAAAATAAATTCTTACAATCTAAAAAACATTTTCTTGCTTTATATAACCAGCCAAGGGTCATTAAGCCATAAAAAATGAATCAATCAATTTTTAATAAACAAGTTGGGATTTTGACCAGTATACAGGTTGCTTAGATTTTTGGACAAGATTTAGTACTGAAGTTGTTTAAATGGTTGTTTAACTCTTTTTTTTTATATTAGGGTTTAATAAATAGAAAACAAAAACATTTCGGTGTAACTAGTAGAATACTTCAATTTGTGTATATATATATATGTGTGTGTGTGTGTGTATATATATATATATATATATATATATATATATATATATAATATATATATATAAAATTACAAAATGTTAAATAGTAGCAATACAAAAAATGTAAATGTAGAATCTAAGCCAAATATCTAATTCAGGGAAATTGCAAGGAGGAAAATATAAGGTAAAAATATATAAAGAAAATATATAAGCCAAAAATAACAAAAAGGGGAGGATTTACATTAGAGTAAATGTGAAAAAGTTTAAAGAAATGTAAACCATTTCTAGTCATTCAAATATGATAAATATAAAAATAACACCATACTGTTAACACACATATGGGAACTAAAATTGAAACTGGAAAGACCTGTAGTAGAATGGAATGTAATAAAAAATATAAAGAAAAACAGAGGCAGAAATTGCAATTTAACACTGTTGACATGCTGACATTCCTTTTCAAAAAGAATTATAGTGTTTGGGTGCATCCAAAAGAAACAAATGCCCATTTTGAAAATCACACAGCATGAAACTGGTTGTTAATGGGTAAATAACCAGTGTTATATTTTTATATGTATTAAAAAGCTCTTTTAAAATATTTAAAATAAAGCACTCTTATATACAGCAGAAAAGGAATATCCAAATCACTATTTTACTTATGATATCAATAATTGCCTTTTTATAAGTATAATAATGCAATTCAGTTAGTCAGTTATGTGCCGTGCGTGATACACACTTATGCGATCATGTATCTTTTGATACATGACTGACAAGGCAGATTTTTTTCCACATTAGGTTGCCATTTCTTTTTGCAGTAGACCAGTTGCCATCCAAGGCTATAGAACCCAGTCTGTCCTGCTATTTACCCATAGCTGAGGCGGAGAAGAGGATTCATACCTTTCCCAAGGTTATCAGCATGTAGGTGAATGTAATGGATTTGAATGGAATTTGAACTCAGTTCTCTGATTCCTCAATCTGAACTGCTGTCCATTACTCCACTGTGCCTCCTCCTTTACATAATAATGCAATTGCAAAACTCATATTCATTTATCTGTGATGCCAAAAATTTAATCTCAAAAATCTAAACTATAAATGACACTTCAAGTTTAAAATTTAATTTTCACTGTTATCAAGAGTCCACAAGATAAAGCTGTATGAATTGTTCATTGATATAGGGAATTTTTTCTGATGACATAGAAATGTATTTTACGCAAAAAAAAAAAATTTGAATTCTTGTTTTACATATATAATTTCTTAGTCTATTGTCTTTAAAAAATTTTGGCAGATATAATCAACTGCTTTCAAGTGAATGTTGTATGCATCTTGTAGAATTCAGAAGTTGCTTATGATTCCAATCTTGGCTGGGGTTATTTTAATGTCATTGTTTTTTTTTCTTTAAGCCCAAACTAAATACTTAAGTGTTTTAGGACAAAAATTGTAGTTTTAATGTTAGTCTTTCTATATCAAGAATATTTCCATAAATTTTTTTAATGTTTAATAGTTATAAAAAAAGTGACTGCCACCAAGTCTTAATATCTGTCAACACTTTATATTTATTTATATACACTCTGATAGCGAGCACTTTTCTCTCATAAATATAGCATACAATAAAAACTATATTGTGTTCATTTTTGCCCAAATACCCTTGGGAAAGGCATGAATTCATCTTTTCTCCCCCATCATCAGCTTTGAGCTTAATAATAGGGTAGACTGGGCTCTATAGACTTGGGTGGCATTTAGGGAAGGAAAACTGAAATACAAATTAAGAAACAGAAGACCACTCCACTATATTTCCCAAGAATGCATAGCAATTCATAATATATATATATTTATATGTGTGGTGTTTAGTGGAAAGTGCTTAATATCCATGATAGAGCTAACATATGTATATGTGAGTGAAATCCCAAACACTGAAGAAAATTTTCCCCCTCCCACCACACACAAATAATCAAACACAAATAAAGCATAAATAGATCCACTTTTGAAAAAATAAACCAGTTTGTCTGAAGATCATGAAAGTGTGAAACCTAAGGTCACAAATAACTCTCCATACAACTGCATATATATATATATATATGTGTGTGTGTATGTGCATGACTGAGTGGTCAGGATGGTCACTTTCCAACCATGATACTCAAGTTCAAATCTCGGGAAGGTGACTTCTTGATGTTATCAATCTGGAGGTGGTGATCCTGGTATGTGGCACATTTTCCCCAAGACTTGTGTATGAAATTGGGTAGCCAGAACTATTTGGGAGTCATCAATGATTGTGCTAGCACAAAGTCACAAGTCATCATGAGTGAGAATTTGAGCAGACTGGCCTATTTCAAACTGTTGATCATGCCAGATAATGTACTCTTTCCCAGAAAACTGTAACTAAGGTCTGCTCAATGTAGTTGCAGTATAAACCACAGGTAGGTTCTGTGGGTGTTGAGCAATGTCATTGAGAAAGCAGGGATTAGCTAGTCACTCTAGTAACCAGGTTTATTTATATATATATATATATATATATATATATATATATATATGGTTTGTATGTATGTGTAGGATGTATAATAATATCTGAAAGAAAAGTGAAAATAATATCATTTATCCTAGAAAGCAGTTGTGAAGATGAGACAAAGTGGAAAATCTATTAATGATACATTTTGCTGAGAGTGTCTACTCTCTTTGGCTTCTTCAGACTATAATGAAAGAAAGACAAAACAGTGTGTGAGAGAAAATACCTTGGGATCTCTGAGGATAAATAGTAATCATAAATAAAATTAAATTGGATACCTCCAATATCTAGAACTCAAGGGAGTCTGACAACCTGTTTGTTTTGTCTATTATCAGAGGTGTTTGGTATTGATGGATTTTAAATCAGGCGACTGAAATTAGTTTATATATATATATATATATATATATATATATATATATATATATATATATATAATATGTGTGTGTAAAAATTGGTTAGATGCACACAAGAGAAAAAAAAAAAAAAAAAAAAATTAGTGCAAGTCCAATAGGTCCACTAGGCGAAACAAATCCACACTTCTCTTTGCATCTCAATCTCCAATACACCACTCCCCATCAGAAGCAAAAACAAACTGTTCTTGAATGAGCATACCATCACTCAACCAATGACCGTCCAGAACTAGCCAATAAAAATGGCTACAAGCAACATCAGCACAAAGTGCTGCCCGATTCACAGTCTCTACACTCCCTTGCAAAACATACATGTGACTCTGGCCCTTTTGGGTTGCTGAGGTAAGTCACCACTACAATATATATATATATATATATATATATACACACACACACAATTAATGCAAGTAAAAGGTTTGTCACTTAGCTGATTGATGTTACCTTCAGCATATATATATTATAGTCATATAAAAAAAAAGTCAATATTAATTATAGATCTCTATGTAACATCCATTACTGCCCACCTTTTCCATGAATGCATTAATGGGTTAAACAATATTAGATTATACAGAACCAACCCAAAATAATATATTCACAGTTCAGGAAAGAAAAAACTTGTTTTTTGTAGTTTTATCAAATTGCAATAACACGGTTTACTGTAGTATATTTTCTCGACAGATGGCATTATCCTCATGGCTGTAGCATCAACAAGTGATGTTTACGACATGGCAGATCTATGTTTGTCATTTAAAGAAAATAAGATTATTTTAAAGTGGTATTTAAAATTTGAAAATGTTGAACTCCAAAGAAAATGAAGCTGTGAGATTGGAACACAACCTTTAACACATTTGACAAGTTTGAAACACATGGTACCATGTATGATGTGCATAATGGAAAATTCTGCAGATCTTGTGCACCAACAAGTACTGCTTCTTTGGCTGTGGTGTTGGAACAGTTCACCACAGAAGTCTACTGCACAATTTGCATGTGAAACAGCAGTAAGCAGTACAAACATACAGTGTATTCTTAAAAATAGGAGGATGTTTACATCCCAAGATTACAATTACTGATTTCGATCCGGATTGAAGAATCCAGTTTTGTGAGTGGTTTCAACACATGGTAAGACCTCTCTTACCATGTGTTGAAACCACTCAAACTGGATTCTTTGATCTGTATTGCAGAGCTGGTGAGAAAGATTGTGTGGTCTGATGAAGCACAATTTAATCTAAATGGAACAGTGAACCAACATGTGTTCACTGGGCACTAGAAAATCCTTGTACTTGTGGAAAAAAACAGTCAATTTACTGGGTGTCTATTCCTGGTGTGGAGTGTCATTTAGACATTTAATAGGACCATTTTTCTGTGAATGGTCAAGTGTACCTCTGCATGCTATGCACATCCATATGACCTACCATACATGAAATTTATGGAAATGATGAATTTTTCTTTCAACAAGGCTGTGCACTATCACACTACCAGCATGATGTGAGAGCTTATCTGAATGAGAATTTGCAAGCACACTGGTTAGGACAAAGAAGTACAGTCAGGTCCCTCCCCCCTATTTACTATAATCATTATTTACAAACAACCTTATTACTTTTTCTACAGTCAGAGCTGTATAAAGTATTATATTTGAGTAGAGGAGGGCAAGGCAAGGAAACATGTCTC